ATTTGTTTCTTTTCTTTAAAAAGCGTTTTTGAAGCAAAAACGGAAAATTTTTGGAAATTTTTAAGTTTACGGGAACTTACCTTTTCTTGTTTGCACATTAGGAAAGTTTAAAACTTACAGAGGATCTTTTCGGGTTTTACCGGGAACATTTCGGGAAATACCGGAAATCACCAGGCAAAACCGGGAATCACAGGCAAAACCGGGAATCACAGGCAACACCGGGAAGCGGCAGAAATCCGCGGAATCATCTCAACGACCAACGGCCGTTGTCAGGAGATGCGCGACCGCGGTGGCTGAGGGCTCGGCCGCGGTCACATTTCCGGCGCCGCGGTCGATGCACTCTTGGCCACGGTCAGGTCTGTTGCAACCGCGGGTCTTCCTCCTGCGGCCTATTGTCCAATCTTCTCGTCTTTGCTGGGCAGAGCAGCTAAAGACCTACCTTTTTCTTATTGGTTTTTCTAATTTTCTGATTCTTTTGTGTTTTTTTTTTTTTTTTTTTTATAAAATACCTAATACTTAAAAAGAAAAAGAAAGCATAAACTCAAAAAGGGAAAAGAAAATTAAAAGAAAGAGTACCTAAATGGGTTGCCTCCCATTAAGCGCTTTTGTTTTAAGTCGTTTAGCTCGACGTAAGCATGAGGAATCAGGCTGATTTGAATGGCACTCCACTTGATGTGCCTTTATCACTTCCGGTTGGTGGAGGTTTTACTTCTTCTCCTTGAAGAGAAGTCTTCTTACCTTTAATCTTCTTTCAGACTTTAATGTTGTTCAGAACCCTTTTTGTGTTTTCGATCAGCTCCTGTATTTGATCCTCACTAGTTTCTGTTGCATCCGGTGGAATGATGATCTTGATCTTTGCAAAGGCTTTCGGCTTCTCCTTTTCTTTCTCTTTTGGCCTGTTTCCTTTACTTGGAAATTCATCTAAGATAGTACGATAGTACCTTTTTCTGTCCACATTGAGGAAAACAGCATGCCGGTTTGCGTGATCGATTATTGCTCCTACTGTAGCTAGGAATGGTCTCCCGAAAATGAGTGGCCTCTCCTTGTCTTTATCCATCTCCAGGACTTGGAAATCTGCTGGAACAATCTTATCTCCCACTAGAACTTGTAGATCATGAATCGGCCCTTCAGTATCTTTTTGAGATGAATCTCCAAAGATAACCATAACCGTCGATGTCCTTAAGGTTTTTATGCCCAATCTTTCGGCAAATGCCTTAGACATGATATTGACATTGGCTCCAAAATCGCACAAGCAGTCTGTAAACTTGATTCCTAAAATGAAACACTGGAAAACAAAACGTCCCGGATCATCGGCTTTGGTAAGCCTTTGAAACGGTGATCGTTCGGGTACCTTAAACGGTGGCTGCTTAGGATCGATGTCCTTGTACAGTGGTACAAAGATTGGGGTTTCTTCTTTCTTTCCATCGGTTCCGGACTCTTCTTCGGGCAATGTTGTTATGGCGTTGCAAAACTTCTTAGGGTTATCTTCAACTCTTCCTGGAAGAACTTCACTTTGCCTTTTCATAGAGTCGGCTGTTTGGGCGACTTGCAAATCTAACTTCTTTACGTGCGAAGATAAAGATTCAAACTTACCATTCAGATCATTGTATGCAGTCCACTTTCACGTTCACGTCTTTAGACGCTTTTTCGTTCGTCATAACGAGCTGTTGGATTGACTGTTCAACTCTACCGATTTGTGAAGCTAGCTGGTTCGTCGTGACTCCCTGCTGTTGTACAAATTGATTGTTAAAACCCGTACCTTGGTAGTTATATGGCTGTCGCGGTTGATATGGTACTATTCCTCCAAAGTTTCCACCTTGAAACTTGTTTTGGAATGATTTTTGCTGAGGTGGGTAGTACTGATCTTGAGGGTTCTCCACATTTGGATTGCGGTAAGAGAGATTGTTGTAATTTGCATTCCGGAAGTTGTTGTTGAAGTTGTTGTTGGAGCGATTTTGGTATGGCACCAGTGCTCCTACGTAGTTCACATCTTCTTCTTGAAATGCTTGATTAATGTGATCGATATCACTAGGTCCTTCCTCTTCTGCGCCATTGTTGTTTTCACAAGCATGGATCGGGCGATTGTTGCTCTTCAGAAGCTGGCTCACCATGTTCTTCAACTCGGTTATCTCCTTGTTGTCTGTTCCGGCTTGCTTCATCGATCGATCATATTCAGGACAGTCATTGCTATTGGCTTGAGCCAAATTTTCGATGAGGGCTCTTCCTTGGGTTATCGTCTTTTGCCCAAAATCTCCATTGCTAGCTGTATCAAGTGAAAGTTTGTATTTTGGTTGCAAACCTCGGTAAAATTTGCTCAGCAGGCTTGATCCATGAAATCCATGATGAGGGCAATCGCGTTCATACTCCTTAAAACGTTCCCAAGCTTCATAGAAAGATTCAGTTGGCCCTTGTTGAAAGGTTGAGATCTTCGTTCTCAAATTGTTCGACCTTGACTTAGTGTAGAAGTGGTTCAAGAAAGCAGTTCTACATTCTTCCCAATTAGTAATCGATCCTGCAGGCAAAGACTTCAACCAACGGTGAGCTTTATCTGCTAATGAAAAAGGGAACAACTTACACTTTAAATAGTCAGGTGGAACTTGGTTTGTTCTCATCATGCTGCAAATTTCTTCAAAAAGCTCGATATGGTCCATTGGGTGCTCAGAAGGAACTCCATGGAACTGGTTTTGCTTCACCAATGAGATGATTTGAGGCTTGACTTCAAACTCATTCCGGTTTGGAAATGGTACTTGAATCGCAGATCGATTCTGAAAATTTTGAGTAGGTGCATCAAAGTCAGCTATGCGATGGTTCCTGGCTTGTCTTCGATGTTGATTTGCTGGCGGAATGGGGCGGTGAATGCGTTCATTCGGCTGCATTGCTGGGTGGTCACCATCGGCTACATTGATGGGTGGATCAAGGTCTTCACGTCCTTCTCTCTCTCGGTTCTGGTGGTTTCTTGGAAGAACCTCATCCTCCTCTCCGTCTTGTCGAGCATGATCACCTTCTATGTGATCATTCTCTTCGTTTTCTCCATGTTCGGACCCTTCTTGGTCCATATTTAAATTTTGATTAATAGGATCTCCAGGCTGGTCGTCGTTGGCCATTCCTTGCGTTCGTCTAAGTCTTCGAAGTTCTCTTTCGTGTCTGTCTATCTCATCTAGAATTGGAATGTCTCCTGCAGGTCTACGCCTGGTATTCATGCAATTCAGAGAAAGACAAAAGAAGGGAAAGATAGTTCAGAAAAACTTTAAGAAAGAAGTAGAGATCAGGTGTCTAGAACAGAAGTTAAAACAAGAAAAATAGCAAAAGGCAGCGAAACAAATCCCCGGCAACGGCGCCAAAAACTTGATGCGTGCTCGTGTCAACTACGTGAGGGAACAAGTTTTACCCTTAACAAAACAAATGAAAGCCGCAAGTGCACAGCTAATCAGTTGTAGTATTTAGGGATCGAATCCACAGAGATTTGTGTGCCTGGTATTCTTCTACGGTTTTTAACTTTATGTCTAGACTAAATTGGTTTTAAAGGTTGGTTGTTTTTCTTGCGAATTAAACTAAAACAAAAGAAAGCAAATAAATCTATCCTAAAAAGCAGGTAAAGAAAATCGAATGAAATGCAAATGGAATAAGTAAAATATCGAACTAAACAAAAATAAGGCAAGTAAAATATCGCATGAAAGGTAAATAAAGCAAGTAAATAACGAACTAAGGAAATTGAAATGCAGGTCTAAGAAAGCAAGTAAAAATCGATGGAATTGTAAACTATGGCTAAAAACGCTGAGCTTTTGGGAACTCTAAGGGATCATAATCGGTTTTAACATTAGTGTAGATAGATTGGGATTGACGGATAACAATATATGGGTTCTAGAGCTAGAGTACGGCGGTATGACTACGTCACTGTCGTGATCATAACCAACTGTTTCTCGCAACCCTGACCAGTAGGTTTCCACTCTGGCCCTGGAAGGGAGAGAACGCAAGAGCTGCACAAGACTCGTCAATACTCACGATCTCGCCGCAGGTAGGTTTTCACTCCTACGGAAAAATCGCCTGTTTCATTCTAGGGCTGATACTTAATGAAAACTTTCGCAACACTAACTATCTAGATCAGATACTAGTTGATCAATCAAGCATACATGCAATAAGAACAAGAATAAACAGAGAACAGGTCGAAATCCCAGATCTATAAACCTAGATGTCTTAATCGATTATGAGAGCCCCTTTCGGGAACCCTAAGCCCAACTCGGGATCTACTCAGACATGGCTGAGTTCGACATCATCATTGGTTTTAATAAAAGTAATGAAAAACAGTAAATAAAAGAGATAAAGAAAGCTTCTCTATTGAAGAACTCGGACTTGAACAATCTTCTACAAAAATCTCATAAAAACGGCTAAAGGAAAAGGGTTTCTGTAAAGTATGAAAAGCTCTCTCTAAAAACCACCTAAATGACATGTATTTATAGTCTCCAATACTCCATGGTCTCTAGGGTTCCGGAATTGAGGCTGGGAATGACTTTGGGCTTCAGATAAGTGGGCTTTAAGTCGGAGGTTGAATGCCGCGGTCGGGAGTGTTGTGACCGCGGCAATTGGCTTGTTGGCCGCGGTTGGGAAGCTTCTGACCGCGGCAAATAGCTTGTTGGCCGCGGTCGCGTGAGTTGCTGGCCGACTCCGCGTGGCTCCGGGGCTAATGGAGTATCTTGAGATCCAACCGTTGGATGTTTGCAAACCAAGTGCATTTGAAAGCTGGTTGATTCTTCTATAAGTTGTCCAATTTTGAGGGTGATCAGACGGTGAGAAGGTCTTCGTCTCTCCATGAGAGTTCTGACGGTCTGCATTTATCCAAAAGAGTCTTTTTGTTCCATTTTGTGCCTCTTTATCTCAAATTACCTGAAAAGTCTTTTAAAATCCGGAAACATAGAAATCCTTTGAAAACCTTTGAAAATGGAGTAAAAACACCTGTAAAAGATATTAAAATGATCCATAAAAATGGTCAAAATCCGGTGTTATCAATAACGAACATATTTTTTGGGAGATCGAGATAAAATCAGGTCCACCTCCTTCTGCTCCGCCTCCTTCTGCTCTGTCTCCTTCTGCTCTCCCTCTTTCAGCTCCGCCTCTTTCAGCTCCGCCTCTTTCAGCTCTGGCTCTTTCTGCTTCAGCTCCTTCTGCTTCAGCTCCTTCCGCTTCTTCTCTTTCTCATCTGACTCCTTCTGATTCGGCTGCTTCTGCTTCTTCCGTTTCTCAGTTGTCACCACACTTTCAAGTTTCTCTCCACCTTCGGGAGGATCTTCATGTTCTTCTTCGTCTCCTTTTTCCTCCTTTCTTCCTTCTTCATTTCGTAAAACTTCTCCTTCCTCATCTCCTGGTCCTTCTCTTCTTGCCTCTTTCACATATTGTTCTACAGAGCAGAGTCTTATATCAATGTCATTCATGCGGTCACTGATTCGGAAAAACTGAGCATCCATACTCTTCTGCAAGCTCTGCAGCTGTTTCACCAATCCAAGAGATGCCACATTCTCCGTAGCCACATTTTCCTTAGCCATTGCAGGATGGTTTACCCACTCCTTATTATCTAAGGCATCAACATCCATCTTACATATCTTTTTCCAGAATATCGGCTTCTCTTCCTCAACTAAACACCTCGTCCAATTGTCAGGAACTATATCACTGATATCTTTCTCTTCATTCCTCTCCATGACTCCAGCAAGCATAATTTCCTCATCCTCATATGATTGCAATATACTCTTGATGACCCTAGTGTTACCTAGTGTTTCATTGAGTTCCGACAAAGAGAAACCTTTTAGGGTGAATGGTTAGAACTTCTGCCTGCACATACGGGGCCAATCCCTATCTGGTCCTCTAACATCTTCTCTGTATTTGTACTTCAGACATGGGATGACCTCAAAATCTGGCAATTACACATAACCCAATAAATTACACTTAAGCTCATAGTATTACAACTACACATAGACCTACGAATTCTTTATAATGTGACATAAATCCAAGGGAGTAACAAAGCTTGGAAATGTCCATGCATCTCTTTCGATGACCACTTTGAAATGCCTTATTGTGTGCTCAATCTCCTTCATATTTACATCGAAGGAATACTTACCCCAACGAAACCTTCTACAAGCCTCAAGATCCACAATCCTCAGGAATAAGGGGTCAACAGATGGGGTTCCCTTTCCGATTTTTGTCTTCCCATTAATTATAGAGGATAAAAAGTAGGCGACACACATCTTCAACCGTGATTGCGATTGTAAATGGGGTTTGTTTTTTCGTTTTACTAAGCTTCAAGTTTAAAATTTACAACCCCTAAATGTCTGCAAGTGCACAGATGTGCGCTGTAGTACTTAGGGTATCGATTCACAGAGACTTAGTTGTTTCAGTACGAATTCACGGCTATGCTTAAATCAGATTAGAACTAAACAATTTGGGTTTTGGTTTTGGGTTTTGGTTGTCACTAAATCTAAATTAGAAAGCAAGTAAAAACTAAAGAGCAATTGAAAACGAAAGCAAGTAAAGCAAGTAAAAAGCGATTAAACTAGGCGATTGGAAGCAGGTAATATCGAATGAAAAGAAAAGGTTGTAAGTAATTAAAGACAAACGTTGGGGCTCAAGGGTAATTCGCAGGGGTTCATGGTCTAATCTATGTCGATTTTAAACAAGTGATAAAGGTAATCAGCTACGTATGTTCTAGAACTCGAGGCACGGAAGTATGAATAGCCTACTTTCGCAGCACTAAACAACTATCTCTCGCAACCCTGATCAGTAAGTTTCCACTCTGATCCTGGAAGGGAGAAGATGCAATAGCAGAACAAGACTCATCAACATTCACAACTCAACTATAGGTAGGTTTCCACACCTATAGAAGAATTGCTCGTTTCACCCTAGTTCATACAATCAATGAAAACTTTCGCAACATATCATATCAGATCAGCTTCTAAGTGGCCAGCAAAGAATCACGCAGTAAGACTAAAGGCAAACAAAGAACATCTAGAAGATTAATAATCATAAATCTATCGATTCATAAACAAAGACACATGAAATCCCCTTTGAACAATCCCTTTAAACCCAACTGGGTAACTACTCAAACATATTGTAAACAATCATCACAAAGTATTGAAAGTTGCAGGAAATTAAAGAAGACAGAGAAGAAAAACGAAGAACAGAGGCGACGACGGAGGCGCGATGATGCACTCCAGCGGCGGCTCCTTCTCCAAGATAGGCGGCCTCTCTCTCTAGGGTTTTGAGTCTCACACGAAAATTTAAGTACAGAAAGGAACACACACTTTAGAATGACCTAAAGGATGTATTTATAGCTTATGGAGTGGTCCTGGACACTTAGGGCTTCAAAAATAACGAAAGGAATTGATCTGGGCTTTAATTAAGTCTTCTGGAAAGTGAACGACTAAGTTCCGCGGTTGCGGTGGCTCTACCCGCGGGAAAATAGGTGTTGGCCGCGGTCCCGGCACACGGCTCTCTTCTGGAACTGCATTTTTTTGTCATTCTTGCATCGGGAGTATCTGAAGATCTAACCGTTGGATTGTCTCCAAACCAAGTGCATTAGAAAATTAAGTCAAAATTAAGTCCAGATAAAATGAGCTAGTATATCCTGTCAGAAAGAATCTCCATGAATAGAAGTCTTCTGGTGGGATTTCGTAATGCAAGTATTCTAGCTACCGCCTAGTCTAGGCCTAAATCACAAAAAGAGCAAAAAACGAGGAAATAGCGTAGAAGCACACTGGTCTAAATCATCATAGTAATGTTTATTGTGTTCCTGGCTTGAAAATTATTTGGAAAACATTTTGAAAACGATTTTTGAAAAATTTTATGAAAAACATTTTGAAAAACTTTTTTTTTTTGTGTGTGTCCAAAACAAACTCAAAACAAATCAAATTTCATTAGTAACGGATGAACATCCTCCCCCAGACTTATTTCACACTGTCCTCAGTGTGATAAATCTTGGAAAAAATGGTAAAGAAAATAGAAAAGTTGAAATGTTTAAGTGAACTTATCGTGTTGGAGAGTGCTGCTCATCTTTTGTATTTATTCTTCCTTATTGAAAACCTGAAATTAAATGAAATAGAAACAAAGCAATGGAAATAGAAAATAAAGGTCAAAAGGAAATAGATAAAATACCAAGTGGGTTACCTCCCACTAAGCGCTTGTTTCAAGTCATTAGCTTGACATTGTTGCTCGATTAGACTTAACCGGGGTTGTGACACTCCTTGACTTCATCCTTGGCCGAGGATGGATCAATTAAAAACATCACTTCTCTTTCGTTTTCTCTTTCTTCAGCCAGATATGGCTTTACGCGCTGTCCATTCACTGTAAATGAGTTTCCGGTTCTCTCACAGGACAATGGCTCCGTATGGCTTGACTTTCTTTATCGTGAAGGGTCCTGACCATCTTGAACGTAATTTTCCTGGAAAAAGCTTAAGACGAGAATTGAAAAGAAGTACCTTATCGTTAGGAGCAAAAGTTCTATGAATAATCTTCTTATCATGATATGCTTTAGTCTTCTCCTTGTAGATCTTCGTGTTTTCGTAGGCATTGTGTCGGATTTCTTCTAACTCGTGCAGTTGAAGTACTCTTCTTTCTCCAGCTGTTTTCAGGTTCATGTTCATCTCCTTGATAGCCAATTGCGCCTTATACTCGAGCTCTACTAGAAGGTGACATGCTTTTCCATAAAATAGGTTGAATGGTGTTGTTCCCAATGGTGTCTTGAATGTTGTTTGATATGCCCATAATGCGTCATCAAGCTTGGTAGACCAATCCTTGCAATGAAACTGCAGTAGTTTTCTGCAAAATCGACTTGATTTCTCTGTTTGAGATCTCTACTTGACCGCTGGTTTGGGGATGGTATGAAGAAGCAACTTTATGTGTAACTCCATTCTTTCTAAGAAGGTTCTCAAAAACTCTGTTGATGAAATGCGATCCTCCGTCGCTTATCACAATTCTAGGAACTCCAAAACGCGGGATTATCACAGATTTAAACAGCTTCATGACAACTTTCGCATCATTGGTGGGACTAGCGACTGTTTCAACCCACTTAGATACGTAGTCTACTGCTACTAAGATGTATTGGTTTCCAAAAGAAGTTGGAAAGGGTCCCATAAAATCTATTCCCCAGACATCGAAAATTTTAACTTCGAGAATAAAATTTTGAGGCATCTCATTCCTTTTGCTTATGTTTCCCATTCTTTGGCATTTATCGCATTGCGATATGTAAGCTTGAGTATCTTTGAACAGAGTAGGCCACCAAAAACCTGCTTGTAAGATCTTTGAAGCGGTTTTAAAGGTTGCAAAATGTCCTGTGTAAGACGAGCTATGGCATCCGAATAAAATTCCTTCCATCTCTTCTTCAGCCACGCATCTTTGGAATAACCCATCAGCACATCTCTTATAGAGATAGGGTTCATCCAAAAAATAATGTCTTATGTCTTTCAGAAAATTTTTCTTCCTATAACCAAAGAATTGTGGTGGTTCTACATCAGCTGCTAGGTAATACGCTATGTGTCTAAACCATGGGGTGTTGAAAGCATCTGATCTTCGCATGAGTTGACGTGGTGGTGCTGCACTGGCATTTGTGGGGGTAGTATCTATTGCATAGATGTTTTCTTCTGGCAAACTGTCATTTAAAGGCAATCTCTCTTCAACTCGAATTCGTGAAAGATTGTCTGCAACTCCATTATCTGCGCCTTTCCGATCTCGAATTTCGATGTCGAATTCTTGCAGTAGGAGGATCCATCTTATCAACCGAGGTTTAGCGTCTTTCTTAGACATTAAATACTTGATTGCAGCATGATCAGTATGAACTATGACCTTAGATCCTACGAGATAAGAACGGAATTTTTCTAATGCAAATACGACAGCTAGAAGTTCTTTTTCTGTTGTTTCATAATTGCATTGAGCTTCGTCTAGAGTTATGCTTGTGTAGTAGATTACGTGCAGTTTCTTATCTTTTTGTTGGCCAAGCACTGCTCCGACTTCATAGTCACTTGCATCGCACATGATTTCGAACGGCAGTTCCCAATCAGGTGCTTGCACGACAGGAGCAGAAACAAGGGCTTCTTTGATCTTATGAAACGCGGCTAAGCACTCATCATCGAACTCGAAGTTCGTTTCCTTGCAAAGCAAACGCGTAAGAGGTCGAGCTATTTGAGAAAAATCTTTTATGAAGCGCCTATAGAATCCTGCATGTCCTAAGAAACTACAGATACCTTTTACGTTTGTGGGAGGTTGTAGGCTGGTCATGACTTCAATTTTAGCTTTGTCAACTTCAATACCTTTTCCGGAAATCCTGTGCCCAAGCACGATTCCGTCTCGCACCATAAAGTGACATTTTTCCCAATTTAATACTAAGTGCTTATCTTCACATCTTTGCAGAACTTTACCAAGGTTGCCTAAGCATTTTTCAAAAGAAGATCCATAGACGGAGAAATCATCCATGAATACTTCCATGAAATCCTCAATAAAATCAGTGAAGATCGACATCATGCACCGCTGGAAGGTAGCGGGTGCATTACACAGTCCAAAAGGCATACATCGGTAAGCAAACGTGCCATATGGACAAGTGAATGTCGGTTTTTCTTGATCCTGGAATTTGGAAAAATCCGGAGTATCCATCAAGAAAGCAATAGTAAGGGTGATTAGCTAATCTTTCTAGCATTTGATCTATGAAGGGAAGTGGAAAATGATCTTTCCTAGTTGCTGCATTCAGTTTCCGGTAATCGATACACATACGATGTCCAGTTACTGTTCTTGTAGCGATCATTTCATCTTTATCGTTTTTAATGACAGTGACTCCTCCTTTCTTCGGAACAACATGAACTGGGCTAACCCAAGTGCTATCTGAGATAGGAAAGATTATTCCAGCTTCTAAAAGCTTCATAATCTCCTTCTTGAAAACATCCATGAGATTAGGGTTCAGTCTCCTTTGACTTTCGATTGAGTTTTTAGCATTATCCTCTAGATTTATCTTGTGCATACAAAGATCTGGAGAGATTCCAGGTATGTCATCAAGCGAATATCCTAAGGCTTTTCTATGCTTTCTCAGCTCAGTCAACAACATTGTGGTTTCTTCTTTCGTCAAACCAGAGTTTATTTTGACAGGATAAGTAGAATTTGGTCCAAGGAAAGCGTACTTAAGTCCGACGGGAAGAGGTCTAAGCTCGACTTTAGGGGCTTTAAGCTCGCTCCAAGGATCATTAATTGCTGCAGCAGTGTCTTTAGG